GGAATTTGGAGGGATGGTGTGTTACAGGATTGTGAACCCATCTTGGGCTTACAATGGCCCTCATCCCTTTTCCGTATGTAAAATAATTAGTCCCGGTCGCACCCGCAGACGTGTCAGTAGGGCGGGCAGGGCGTTTTGCCTGAGACTTCCTCATAGTTGATGACCCTCAAGCTTGACAGGGGAAACCTTTTCAATGATGGAGGGCAGCAGGTTCTCAAAATGTGGCTCCTGGCCTAGCGCCGCGCACATGCGCAGCAGTTTCAAGCACGGATGGGGGGCGGTTTCAAAAGGTTGCTCTCGCCTCAGCTTCGTGCATATTCGTTTTGAAAGTATTCAGCAGCTCCAGAAATGCAGCAGGCTGGTTGCTTTCAAAATGTGACTCTCGCCAAGCGCCGCGCACAACCGTGTTCGACGTTAACAACATGTTCACACGTTCGTATAGCTGAAAGTCCAGGAATGGTATCATGTTACGATTTAGGGATGTCCAGTCGCAACAGTCACGTTGATCCGTGGCGTAGAAGTCCCGAGAACGGTGTCTTGGCACGACTCAGGGTTGTCAGGACGTAATATGCGCCTTGCTTCGCGGCGTTGAAGTCCCCGGGATGCTGTTTCGGCGCGACTGAGGATTCTAAGACGATTGTCTTCCAATGGGGCACCTCCCGCGATGAAAATGAATGGTGGCAGGCACCTACAATGAGGGAACTCGAAGAGAGGGTTTATTGCAGCATCGTTGATGCGTCTTGGGTTTACACTGGTCCTCCTCCTATTCCTCTTCCTCCTCCTCCTCCTCCTCCTCCTCCTCCTCCTCCCCCTCCTCCTCCTTACTCCCCCTCCTCCGCCATTCTCCCGCTCCTCCTCCTCCTCCTCCTCCTCCTCCTCCTCCTCCTCCTCTTCCTGCTCCTCCAACTCCTCCTCATTCTCCATCTCTTTCCCTTCCAAGTAACTATTCCCTGTCGCAGGCTCAGGCGTGCCGTCAGGCGGACCTGGAGTTTCGCTTGGGATGTCCTAGCCACTCGTGACCCTGAAGCATAAATCTCGCAACAACAGTTTGAATGGAGGGGGGCCGTTCCCACATGGGGTTGTCGACCCAGCGCGGCAAACATTCGTTGTAGCATTCTGCAGCAGCCTCAAGGATGGACGGGGTGCTGGTCATTTCGAGGAGGCGCCTCTTGTAGTGAAAAGGAAACATGTAGGGACCAGTGAGGAACGGACTTGGGACGGAGTGTGTATTGCAGCACCGCTGATGTATGGCGGTGCTATTATGGTCCTCTTCCTCCTCCCCATCTTCCCCCGCCTCCTCCTCCTCCTCCTCTCCTCCTCCTCCTCCTCCTCCTCCTCCTCCTCCTCCTCCTCCTCCTCCTCCTCCTCCTCCTCCTCCTCTTCGCCGTCCAATGCCCCCCCGCTTTCGTGCCCTCCTCCTCCCTGTTTTCCTCCTCCTCCTCCTCTTCCTCCTCCTCTCCGTTCTCCTCCTCCCCCCTCCTCGTTCTCTTACTCTTTCTCCCCCTCCCCATATCTGGCCCCCTCGCCGGCGAGGGAGGAGGAGGAGGAGGAGGAGGAGGAGGAGGACGAGGAGGAGGAGGAGGAGGAGGAGGAGGAGGAGGGAGGAGGAGGAGGGGGAGGAGGAGGAGGAGGAGGAGGAGGAGGAGGAGGGAGGAGGAGGGAGGAGGAGAAGTTGGAGGAAGAGGAGGGCACGCGGAGGTCTTCGCCATTCTCTTCTTGTCTGACCACCCAACATTTTTTACCAGCGTGGACACTAAGTTGTGCGTCATTGCATTGTGGAGGTGGAAGCTGTGAGGTGCAAGCTGTGCGGTGGACGCCGTGTCGTGTAAGCTACGTGGTGCGAGCTCTGGACGTGAAAGCTATGCGGTGGAAGCTGTGTCGTGCAAGCTACGACGTGTGAGCTGGAGGCGAGGCTGTGGGGTGCAAGCTGTGTGACATGAGCGGTGCTGCGTAAGCCATGCCGTCTCTGAGGTACGCGGGCTGAGCCGGGCGGTGCAAGCCACGCTGTGAAAGCTCTGTCGTGCGAGCTCGGAGCACGTGGCGCCCACGAGGCGGCACGGGCGGCGCCGTGGCGCAACCTCGGGAAGCCCGCCCAGCGCACGGGGCGCCCACGGGGCGCTGACGGGGCGGCACGGGCGGCAACGTGGCGCAACCTCGGGAAGCCCACCCAGCGCACGGGGCGCCCGCAAGGGGCGCCCAGGCGGCGCAGCCAACCTCGGCGAAGCCACGCGGCGCAGGGCGCGCCCCCGCGGCGGCAGCGGGGCGCAGCCCCGGCGAAGCCACGAGGCGCCCCACGCGGCGGCACGGGGTGGAGGAGGAGGAGGAGGAGGAGGAGGAGGAGGAGGAGGAGGAGGAGGAGGAGGGGGAGGAGGAGGAGGGGGAGGAGGAGGTATCGTGGCGCAGACTCGGCGAACCCAGCCGCTTCCCTTTGCAGCAGACGGCGCGCGAACCCCCTAAGTGCCAGCACGGCATGGGGAAGCTCGTGCCCGGCGTGCCGATCGTTGCCCCGTAGGTAGGCGAGCGCTTGAGCCACTCGTTGGCCACATCCCCCTTGTTGTCAGCGTGAGAGTGACGAGCCTCCAGTCACGCGCGATGGCTTCCACGTAACACTGCCCTGCCCCATCCTGCTCTCACGTTACCCCCGCCGCCTAGGCCCGGCGCTGCGCGACTCGATCCCGTGCCGCGTGCCGCCCTGCTTCGAGATGCCGTACGTGCTCTTCTCGACGTTACTCCGCGCTGCGGTGCTCCACGGCACTGCCTCCGACCCATGGCAACCACCCCAAGTCTCGCAGAAGCAACAGACTTTCTATCATCTGAATCCGAATAGCGCGAGGCGCCGCCGGTTCTGGCCCACCATGCCTCGGCTCGACACGCTACCCGGCGCCAGCCTCCCGAGCTTTCCCCCGCCTCCCGCCCCGCAGAGCGGAGCGACACGCTGCCCGCTCGAAGGGCATGGCGTGTCACCAGGGCCGCCACCGCGACACGCCGTGCAGAAGCTCCTGACCGCACCTGTATCCAATCATTAATCGTCCATCCAGTCCAGGCTCGTTTGGCGGCGCCCTCCAGGACGACCACGACCGTGACGTCCACCAGCACGAGCACGACCCGGACCACCAGCACCAATACCACCAGCACTGCCCGCGGCCTCAGCTTCCCGATGCGGTCCGAGTCCTGTGGGTCGACGCCCCTCGAGTTGGAGCCAGCTGGGGGGCGGAGGTGGCCCAGCACCGCTTCCAGCCGGCAGAAAGACTGCAAGCAAAAGGGCCCCCCTCGGCGCCACGGCTGGGCGCGTCTCGAAAAGCTGCTAGGTTTCGTCCCCGGGAGAGGTCTGGGGACCGACTTTGCGGAGTTTGACCGCATCCTCCTTCCCCCTTCTGGACCGACTTTCTCTGGGCTTATCCAGCTCGCTCCCCCCCCAGCACCCTGCAATTCTCTGGCAGACTGTGCCGTATTGTTGTGGTTCTGCGCGGCGGCAATCGGAGCTGGGCTGTAGAGCCAGACGTCTACCCAAGAGGCTTGCGCCACTCGTCTGGACCCCAGAAGAGGATCATATACATATGCGGCCTCCGATTTCGCAAGTGATGTTTGACACTTCCCGGCGTGTTGCCTGCGTGCAGTTGTTGCGGATTCGTTTTCTTCTGCCTCCGCGTGTGTTGGGCGGGCTTCTTGGCGGCCGCATGGAGGCCTACAGAGTAGCCCCTTGGAGCATTTTCAGAGCTCCAGGGATTTGGGGGGCCCTCCCCAGACCCCCGACGTCATGATTTTTTCATGACGCGACCCCCAGAGGTCCCGACCCACTCCCCAGGACCGGTTTTCGTTCTGAATCGTTTTTTGACGGTCCCGAGGCCCGGTAAGGGCCCCCAAAGGCCGAAAATAGCGGAAAATGTCCCGTCGTGATTTTTTCACAGCGCGAGGGGGTCTGGGTCTGGGGGCCTCTTGGGGGCCCCTGCCTGAGGGTATGCCGGGGGTCCCGCGGGCACTCTTGTGGGGAGGCCTCCCAACGGATCCCTGCGAGTCCCCCCTTCGTCGGCCTCTCTTGGGGCACAGCCCTCTTGGGCCGCCGCCCGGCCCTCTCGAGCCTCTGGGGGGGGTTGTTCTTGGGCTAGTCTTAAGTCGGGCCTGTCCCTCTACAGGAGGAATCTTCAAAGATAGTCGAACAATTTTCTGGGGACGTTTTTTAGTGTATTTTTCGACCATTTGGGGGTGGTTTTGGGGTATTTTTAAAATTTGTCGCCCAAAATCCGCCTGTAGGGGGACACGCCCGACTTCAGGCCAGTCTGGGAGCCCTCTTGTGGCCGCGTTCGATTCTCAGGCGCTCGAGCAGGGGGAAGGAAAGCGCGAAGGTCATCCCCAAGGGCTTCGCCCTCCGCTGCGGGCCCTCTCTCTCTCTCTCTCTCTCTCTCTCTCTCTCTATATATATATATATATATATGTATATCGCAACGGGACGCGTCGGAGCTATTCCGGGGTGTCTCGGCGCCGTTTCGAAGGCGTCCGGGAGCATCCTTCGCCGAGCGCTTTCCACTGCTCGCAATTGGCCTACTCGCAGACGTCAGCAAGAAAGAAACCCACGTTCGCCTCGATGTGGTATGTCGTAAGTCCCCCACGGCGGATCCAGGCCAGTTGCGAGTAGCGACTTTGCGAGTAGTGGAACGCGCTTGCTTAATCATGCGAGGGCGAGTGGCAATCAGCAGACACATTGAGATATTCGGGTTGTTGTTGAACGCTTTGCTTCCTTTCTTGAGCGCGTCTCGCACGATGTGTATCCGAATCCCTCTTCGAACGACCTGGCGCTGGTGATTGCAGCCGTCTTCGGCAAATTCGTGAGGTTGGGGCTGTTTTGAGTCGGTCTGCGGGTCCAGTCCCGATGTTTCACAAAACGTGTGGTGTTTGTGTGTTGGGTGTTGGGTGTTGTGTGTTGGGTGTTGGGTGTTGGGTGTTGGGTGTTGGGTGTTGGGTGCTGGGTGCTGGGTGTTGTGTGTTGTGTGTTGTGTGCTGTGTGTCGTGTGTCGTTGTGTTGTGTGTTGAGACTGGTGCGTTGTGTGTTGCGTGACCTGTCGTGTGTGTGTGTGTTGTGTATGGTGTGCGTTGTGTTGGTGTGTTGCGTGTTGTGTGTGTGTGATGTATATGTGTGTGCATGCGTGCTGTCTGTGCATTGTGTGTTGTATGTGCATTGTGTGGTGTGTTGTGTGCATGGACGTCGTGTGTTGTGGATTGCCTGTGTTGTGTGCTGTGTGTTATGTGTTGTGCTTGTTTGCTATGAGCTGCGTGTTGTGTGTGTGTGTGTTGCGTGTGTTGTGTCTCACCGCCATTCATTGTCACTCATAGCGGCGCCCCTGCGCCCACCTGCTGTATCCCCGCGGCACCTCGATTGCAGGCCGATGTCCGATGTCCGATGATGTGTTTTGTGTTGTGTGCGTGTGAATGTGTGTGTGTGTGTGAGTGCGCGTGTATGTGCGGGTGGGGAGGTGGAGGGGGGGGGCGTGTGGTGGGGGGGGGGGGGTCGGGAGCTGGGGGTGTTTGGGGGTTGGGGTGGTGGGGGGGTGGAGGGGTGGAGGGGTGGGGGAGGGGGTGGGGGGGTGCGGGGTGGGTTGGGGTGGGGGGGGTGGGGGGGGGTCTGGTGGGGGGTGGGGATGGGGATGGGCGGGGGGGGGACGGGGACGGACGGGGCGGGGGTGTCGACGGGGATGGGGTCGGGGTGGGGCCGGGAGAGGGGATTGGGAGGGGGTGGGGGAAGGCGCCTCCCGAGCAAACATTGTCCTTGGAACGGGTCCTGGGGCGCCTGGGAGGGGTCTTGGGCCTTCTTGAGGCCATCTTGGGTTCTCTTGAGGCCTGGAGGGGTCTTGGGCCTTCTTGAGGCCATCTTGGGCTCTCTTGAGGCCCCTCCTCCTGAGCGTTGGAGCTCTGCTGGGGCCATCCTGCAAGGCATCGTGGGCATTTTGGCGGCCACGGAGCGTGGATTTGAGGGCTCCAGGGGCCCCAAAAATTGGCGTCCGCGAGCTCGCAGGGACCTCCTGGGCCCTCGCCTCCCCCCCCCCAGCTGGATTTTGCACCCCACGCGAGCGGGAACAGCCCACTTCGGTTCACACTGCGGCGCCTATGTGCGTTTGCTGGTGATTTCAGTTCATTTTGTTCTGTGCATGTGCAGCTGCGCACTTGTCGTGCAGTTGCGAACCGGCTCGCCAACGTGGCGGCGGTGTTCGCAAATTCGCATCGTGCCGCATGCCCCGGACTTTGCCTCTCGCCGCCTGACCGTTGTCGCGCGGCCGCGACCGAAAGAGGAAAAAGAGCGGGAACGGCGAAGGGAGGACAGCCAATCGTCTCACACGCCTTGTCACCCCCAGCCAACGGGGGGTCGGCGGTCTAGGTCGTCAGGACTTCGTGTGCCGTCCTCGCCGTTGGTGCGACTGCTGGGGCGGTAGCGCCTCTTTTGTAACCTCCGCTTCTGCAAACCCTGAGCTCACCGCTCGTGTTCAAAACCCGCTGTGACGGTCGAGAGCTGTTGGATAGCGCGTCGCTTCGCCAGTTCTGGCCCACCAAGCTTCCGCGCGACGCGCTGATTATCCATTCCCCAGCCCCCAGGCTTCAACGTTCCGAGCTTTCCCGAGCCTCCCGCCCCGCGGAGCGGAGCGCCACGCCACCCGCTCGCAGGGCATGGCGTGCCGTCGGGGCCGCCGCGGCGACACGCCACGCAAGAGCTCTTGACCATGCAGCGCCTGTTGCAGGCCACGGCCACGGCCACGGCCAAGGCCACGGCCACGGCCACGGCCACGGCCACGGCCACGGCCAAGGCCACGGCCACGGCCACGGCCACAGCCACGGCAGCGGCCACGGCCACGGCCACGGCCACGGCCACGGCCACGGCCACGGCCACGGCCAGCCGGCCCAGACGTGCGTGCCGGTCTGGGCTTCTTTTTTGTGCCATCTGCTGCAGCAGTGTCAGACGGGCCTCGGGCACGCCCTGCCCTGGCAGGAAGGCCTCGCCGGCAACGCGGGCGAAGCCGAGGCCACCACAACGACGACGACGAGCTCGTACCAGTACGCCTGCCACGAGGACATGCTGGACTGGGAGACCTCGTGGTCAGAGGACTGCCGCGGAGAGGGGGGGAGCAGAAGATGGGAGCGCAAGGAGCGGCTCTTGGAATCTTCTGGCGCCCCAGTCCACCGCATGTGGCTTCCCCCCCAGACCCCCGACGTCGTGATTCTTTCACAACGTCGACCCCCAGAGGTCTGGACCCCTTCCCCGGGACCGGCTTTTCGTCCTATGAGTTGTTTTCTGACGGTCCCGAGGCCCGGTTAGGGACCCCATGGAAGCCGAACATAGCGAAAAACCTCCCGTCGCGATGTCTTCACAGCGCGAGGAGGGCTGGGCCCGCTCGGCGGCAGCGGCGCCGTTTCGCCAGGGGCGCCCGCGGGGGCGAGGAGACGAGCCGCCCCGAGCGCCGTGGCCGTGTGCTCGCCGGGGTCGAGGTCTCCGGGGTCCGGGGTCCGGACCCCATGGAGGTCTCGGCACCGTCCCCGGGCACGAGCTTCTCGTCCCGGGCCGCTCTCTAACCCCAGACCTCCTCGCGTCGTGAAAAAATCACGACGGGAGGTTTTTCGCTATTTTCGGCCTCCGGGGGCCCTTCCCGGGCCTCGGGACCGTCAAAAAACGACTCAGGATGACAAGCCGGTCCCGGGGAATGGGTCGGGACCTCTGGGGGTCGCGTCATGAAAAAATCATGACGTCGGGCGTCTGGGACCCCAGCTTGGCATCGCTCGGACGTGTGCATTTTTTCTCGGCGAGGACCATCGAGGACCATCCTGGACCATCGAGCAAAAAAAACACGCGCGAGACCGAAAAGTGCACGGGAAATGAACGTCCGAGCGACGCCAAGCCAGACCCCAGACGCCTGGACCCCCTCCTCGGGACCGGCTTTTCGTCCCGAGTGGTGTTGTGGACGCTCCCGGGGCCCCCGTAAGGGCCGTCGGGGGCCGAACATATATATATATATATATATATATATATATGTACAGCGAGAAGCTGCCCGGCGTGGTCTCTGTCACGACGCGCGGGGGTCATACTATATAGCTAGGGCCGTCCGGGGCCCAGTGAGGTCCCCTGGGTGCCGAAAGCGAGCAATGTCAGGGTCAGGGAGGCCCAGGGACCCAGACCCCCTCGCGCTGTGAAAAAATCACGACGGGAGGTTTTTCGCTATTTTCAGCCTCCAAGGGCCCTTACCGGGCCTCGGGACCGTCAAAAAACAACTTAGAACGAAAACCAGGTCCCGGGGAAGGGGTCCAGACCTTTGGGGGTCGCGTCATGAAAAAATCATGACGTCGGTGGTCTGGGGGCGGGGAGGGAAATAGGATCGCCCCTGGAGGAAAGAGGAAAGGGGGGGAGGAAAGAGGGGAGGTCCCCTGGAAGCCGTCAGGGAGGCCCACAGGGGGGGGGGAGGGAAAGAGTGGGCCCCGGATCGCCCCCTCGTCGGCACGCCCCGCCTAGCCGCGTGCGGTGTCGCTATCGAGGGCCTCTTCGGCCACTCTGCTGGCGATGCATCGCCGACGCCAAGGCGATTCGACGTAAGCTACCCCACCCCACCCCTCAGCAAGCCCCCCCTCCCTGAGCAAGCCCCCTCCCCCCCCCAATTATCGTCCCCCCTCCATCGCGCATTCGAAGGTCGCGGGTCGAGGCGAGGCTGTCTGGCAACTGGTGGCCCCTTGCTCGGGCCTCTGGGGAGGCTCTCTGGGGGGTCTCCGGGGGATGCTGGCGACCTCGGGAGCCTCCGAAGACTTCCCCCCTCCCCTCCTACCTACAGGGGTGGAGAGGCGGGAGCACACGCAGGAGGAGGAGGAGGACGAGGAGGAGGAGGAGGAGGAGGAGGAGGAGGAGGAGGAGGAGGCGGAGGAGGAGGAGGAGGAGGCGGAGGAGGAGGAGGAGGAGGAGGAGGCGGAGGAGGAGGAGGCGGAGGAGGAGGAGGCGGAGGAGGAGGGAGGAGGAGGAGGCGGAGGAGGAGGAGGAGGAGGGGGGAAAGGCGAGCGATCTTGGCAGTTCTCGCCGCGGTGTGGGGCACCGGGTGTCCAAGCCCGCTGTGGCCTCGGCGAGGGGAGCCCGCAGGACCGAGAGCCCCTGGGTATGTGCTCGAGGGGGGGGGGGGAAGCGAGGAGGGAGCAGCGGCAGCGCCTGGGCCTCCAGACCTTGCCGCCGTGACTCTGTGCACGGCGTGGGCCCCCAGAGGTCTGGACCCCCGGCGCCCTCGGGCAGCGACAAAAAAAAATCACGACGGGAGGCGTTTCCTGATTTTCGGCCTCCGGGGGGCCCTCGCCGGGCCTCGGGACCATCAAAAGACGATTCGGGATGAAAGGCCGGTCCTGGGGAAGGGGTCGAGGCTTCCGGGGACCCCGTATTTTTGAAAAAATCACGACGTCGGCCCTCTGGGCCCCTTTTCCCTGGGACTGGTGTCTCCTCCCGGGATGGTCTCGTGACGGCCCCCATGGGGCCGGTGAGTTGCCTTCCCAGACCCCCTCGCGCTGTAAAAAAATCACGACGGAGGGGTTTTTCTTTATTTTCGGCCTCCGGGGGCCCTTCCCGGGCCTCGGGGCCGTCAAGAAACGACTCAGGACGAAAAACCGGTCCCGGGGAATGGGTCGGGACCTCTGGGGGTCGCGTCATGAAAAATTCATAACGTCGGGGGTCTGCCCTGACTCCTGATCCGCCCTACTTTGGGCGATTTCGAAAGTAGGGCGGAAATTTCCGCCCTACTTTTGAGGCCCCTTTGAGCGTCGACTTCCGCCCTGGAGGCTCCTTTGGCGTCGATTTCCGATACAATTTTAGGTCGGAAAATCATCCAAAGTACGGCGGATCAGGAGCCAGGGTGGGTTGTAAGAAAGGATACCCCGGCGAAGAACCCTCTGGTGGGGTCCGAGCTACCCCTGGGGACCTCGCCGGAGAACGCAGGACCAGGCTCGGCACGCACTCACGCTGGTCAAGTCACGCGCGGGAAGGTGACGACGTCTTCGGCACGGAGCGCGAGGGCGGGGGCAGAGGAAGTAGGACGAGGGATGTTTTGAGGAACAACTGATAGCTCCAGAGCAGCGTGCGGGAGTCCAGGCAGGGGCGGCACGATTGCGCCACGAGCTCACGATGTTCTGGCTGGCTCAGGCGCCGCGGCGCGGAGAAACTCCTCGAAGCCGAGCTTCGCGACTCCTAGCTCCTGCCTTCGAGAAGTAGCCACGCTGACCCTGCCACTTGGGCCTTCGGTGGAGCTCCCTGCGGGGCCACGAAACGTGTGAGAGGTGTGCCAAAACGCATGCGGACCGTGTCACAGGGGCCTCAGGCGGAGCTCCGTATGGGGCCACTGGTGTACCAGAATGGACCTGAGTAATCATGCGGACCCTGCCGCTGGGTCCTTCGGTGGAGCTCCCTATGGGGCCACGAAACGTGTGATGGTGTGCCAGAATGGACCCAAGTGACTACGCGGGCCGTGCCTCCTGGGGCCTTCGGTGGAGCCCTCTCTAGGGCCAGGAGACGCGTGAGGGGCGTGCCGAAGACGAGGGGGAGGAGGTGAGGGAGTGGAGGAGGGAGTGGCGGAAGAAGGGAGGAGCCACCTGTCGGGATGGGGAAGCGCGGCGGAAGGAGCGCGGCGGAAGAGGAGGGCGAGGAGGCGGAGGACGAGGCGGGGCGCAGCGCTGCGAGTTCAAAAGACGAGGGCCCAACGCGGGAGGACCGGGAGGAAAGGCACGGAGGTGCACGTGGCTGCTGCTCCCACCTCCTGCCGCCATGCAGCCGAGACCTCCCGCTCCTCGACCTCCCACTCCTCGCCCTTGCTGCCACCTCTCGGAGGTGGACAGACCTCCTACTGACCAGCCTCGAACGTATCCCTATCCCTGAGATGGGCGAGCAAAAAGCGAGGGCAATCTTAGGGACAGGCCCTCAGAAACTGAGGGAATCCTCAAGATCGGCATCGAGGTAAGATGATATCAAACATCGGGATAGGGATATGTTTCAAACTGGTAACCTACCCTGACACGTCGATCAAGGAATTTGCCGTTCTCGGTCCGTGAGAGGGCGTCGCGGCCGTCATTTCTGCGGGTCCAGGCCCGTCGGTTTCGGTCCCGGGCCGTTTTCACTGAGGGGAGGTTTACGAACGGGAGGCTTGTCCACTGCTGCACTCCCAGACCCCCGACGTCATGATTTTTTCATGACGCGACCCCCCGAGGTCCCGACCCCTTCTCCGGGACCGGTTTTTCGTCCTGAGTCGTTTTTTGACGGTCCCGAGGCCCGGCGAGGGCCCCCGGAGGCCGAAAATGGCGAAAAACCTCCCGTCGTGATTTTTTCACGACGCGAGGAGGTCTGGGCTCAGGGTGCCCTGTCAGGGAACGGTCAGGAACTTTCGGACAGCGCGTCGCTCCGCCGGTTCTGACCCACCACGCCTCGGAGCGACACGCCACCCGCGCTCCAGCACCCGAGAGCGCCCATGCCCCGAGCTTTTCCCGGCGCCCGCCCTCCCCGCGGAGCGCAGCGACACGCTATACCCCCTCGCATGGCATAGCGCGTGCTTTTGAGGACGCCGCCGCGACGCGCTGAGCGAAAGCTCCCGGCGGGAAGCCTGCAACGAGCCCATAGGCCCCCGACGTCGTGATCGTTTCATGACGGGGACCCCCCCGGCGGTCGGAGCCCCATTCCCCGGGTAACCCGCTGGCCACCCCGCGGGCCCTTCCTCGACGGCCCCGATAGGGCCGGTGAGGGCAAAAGGCCGAAGACAGCGAAGGACCTCCGGTTGCGATTTTTTTGCGACGCGAGGGGGCGTCCATCAGGAGGGAAAAAAACACACAGACACAATTAATCGGCGATTCCCAGAAAATATGGGAAAATATGGGAAGTGGGGGGGAAGACAAAAACCCAGAAAATATGGGAAAATATGGTGAATATTTTTATTTGTGTGTATTTATTTGTGTGTCCTGGGGCCCCTTCATGAAGGTGGGGGCAGGGGCCGGACGGGGCTAGGACGAGGATGATTCCGTTACAGGGCGTTCCGGCACGTTCTCAGAGCGTTCCGGAACGTTCTGAGCCGGCCGCAGCGCCCGAGAAATCCTCCAAAGCTACTGGATCTCAGAGATTCTCGATTGATCTTCACCTGGGAGTGGAGGTGGGGGCAGGGGCCCTCGTCGTCGTCGTCGTCGTCGTCGTCGTCGTCGTCGTCGTCGACGCCTCCGCCGCCGCCGTCATCGTCGTCGTCGTCGTCGTCGTCGTCGTCGTCGTCGTCGTCGTCGTCGTCGTCGTCGTCGTCGTCGTCGTCGTCGTCGTCGTCATCGTTATCGTCGTCGTCGTCGTCGTCGTCGTCGTCGTCGCCGTCGTCGTCGTCGCCGTCGTCGTCGGCCCCCGCCGCGCTCACAAGAGGCGCCGGCGGGGCCAACCGAGCGGCCACGGGCCCAGGAGAAGGCGAGCTGGTGCTGCCTCAACGAGGGCATCGCGTGCACGACGACGTCGACGACGCTCACGACCACCACCACGACGGTGT